AAGGACAGTTTGTGGATAGGTAGGCAGTTACTGCACTAACTCAGAAGAAAATTAGCTTGGACAAGCTATCAAGAATTCTGCTTTATCGTTGTCCCTGAAATCAAAGACACTATCTTTGAAATAAGAGATAGCAATTTGTATATTGTTCATCTTCCATTCTCTAAAGCTGTCATAGAGCCTCTGCATACATTGGGGTCAAATGCATCTACGATTGCTTCAGTTTTACCTCCCTGGTTGTTTTTTTTTTCCTCTAGAAGGATGACAGTGGGAACCGGAAAAGGGAATCTGAATTGCAGTTCAGAAAACACCAACCACAAATTAATTCAACAACTACGTATTTGATTTTGCTGTAAAAGCACATCCATCCCATGCTCTGCTCCACAGGCTTCAAAGACAGTACATATCAACAGGATTATTGATTACGCCAAGACCAAATCGAGTAACTTCCTGAGAATGGAAAACAGTAGGAAAAAGTATCACCACCACAAAACCCCAACCTACGATTAAATCTAACCTTATTCACACTTCTTTGACAGGGATTCACACTTACCAGCTTTGACAGGGATGAGACCAACCCCATAAAGGACATCTAGTCCCCCAACTACATGCCTTTTCTTGAGCCCTTCCACCTTGAGAGCAGAGCTGTTACAGACCTGGGGAAGCTAAGGAGTCCAAATGTCGGAAAAAACAGGCAATAAAGTCTCATATAGGCAGCCTTCTTAATTAAGTATTTTGATACTAAGAGCTAATTATTCCTTACAATGTCCCCCTGACTTTGCTGCCTTAGGGGAGGATGTTGGAAAATATTTGGGCAGAATTCACTTTGAGGTTGCAAAAGGCAATTTTAGGCAGACAGTCACCATCGAGTTCAGCGGTCAAGGACTCTTGTCCTGTCTTAGGTTGCCAAAACAATGTTCCCCTGGAAAAGAGAGCAGGCCTCCTGTCCCATCTTAGTCTTAAGCTCTGCCAGGGGAGGTTTAGGTTGGATATTAGGAAGAAATTTTTTACAGAGAGAGTAATCAGACATTGAAATGGGCTGCCCAGGGAAGTGGTAGATTCTCCGTCCCTGGAGGTTTCTAAGATGAGACTGGATGTGGCACTTAGTGCCATGGTCTAGTAACCACAGTGGTGTTGGATCAAGGGTTGGACTTGATGATCTTAGAAGTCTTTTCCGACTCAGTTGATTCTATGATTCTGTGATCTCCCTTCTCATAGCTTTGAACAAACTTTGGGGAAAGATGCCAAATCTGATGCAAAATAAAAGCTAAGGTTGCTTTAAAGAACTGCCTTGCTTTGATCTAAAGACATATTTCCTTTACAATCTGTTTCTATTTGCATCAGTTTGAGCCTTTATTTTAGGATCGGCTCGAACATCTTTCCTTTTTTTCTTCCACTGTAATTCTGACAGCAGTATAAAGTGTAAATAGCCATTGAGACACAGCGTATGCTCAACGGAGACACATTTCTGTGTGGTCTTCCTCCCCCCCCCCCCCCACTGACAGCCAAGTTTTGGTAGAACCTGGTGGAGGGTGGTGACTCACTCAGCCTGTAACAGTTTAACTGGGATCACAGCAGTATTCTTACTATGCACAGTAGTGTCTTTTGGAGGTTTCACAGGGTAAGCCATCGATATGTAATAACATTGCATTGTGAATTATGGAGTTGCTGGAATCAATGGGATTTTGCATATTAATTGCAAACACACCCAAAAAGACAAAGGAATTTATTGGCTTAATTAGTGTTTCAGCTCTAACAGCATTCAGGCTTCATTCTCACACAAATTGATAAATAGCAGCAGTGTTACTCCTCAAGGATACTCTGCCTTTTGAGAGGGGATGCTAGTTTATGATCCAAGCTCTCTCAGCTGCAATGATGCACTCAGCAGGAGCCTGGAGGAGTTGAGCTTCAAAGGTATTTGCCACCTCTTTTTCCTAAGCAGATTGCTAGATGCTGGCAAAAGGGGCTGCCCTACCCTCTCTGCAGATAGTAATGGTGTTTTCTCTGAAAGGCATTTACAGAGTGACGCTTACTGGACAGGACAAAAAAATGGACCTGGACCATTTCCACCTCTAGGGTACAAAAACTGAGATTCATTATCATACATACCCAAACAGTACCTAACCAGTTACCACAATGGCAACCCAAGGGAAGCTACCTGTAATGTACTTAAGGATTGATTCTGACTCCAAGGATACTGAGAAAAACTAAGTTTGAGAAGAATTAGATAGGTGTACCTGGAAGCAGACTTTGGCCCTTGGGCTCCCAGCTCCCAAGAAGCACAGCTCCATGAAAAATAAGGTGCTAGAATGAGAAGCAAATGTCAAGAATTCAGCTGTATACCAAAACAAAACAGATATCCACCTGGATCTGCTCTCCATCACCTCGTGCATTCACATGCTGCAGCACAGCATGACTGATGCAAAGTTTCAGGGACAGCATTACAATAATGAGGGAAGAGCAAGACACTACCTGAAAAGCAGCTTCCTCCCCATGGACTTAAAACATTTTCTGCATTATCATACCACTGAAATTGCACCTTAAAGCTAATAACCGACAAAGATTCATTGTTCAGAAAGCCTGTGCTCACATCTTCAAACAAGTTATTCTCCTGGGCATTCCTCCTCCCCATTCTCAGCAGCAGACCTCTCCTCCTTGGGATGGGGATCACATCACAACACTTAAGTGATAAGCAATTTGTTGACAGAGAGAAATGTCACCAAGAAAACATTTCAGCTGCATTCAAGACCAGGGCTAGGTACCGTTTTTTGTTTGTTTTTCTAGACATGATCTGGCAGCTGCAAGCAAAACGAAGAGCCAGAATCATGTGAATGTGCCCTCGCTGGGAGAAGCACAGCCAAAGGCTGCAGGCAAGCCATGCTCTCTGTGTCACCGTGCTCAGAGAGCACTGGAGGAAATAATCCTGCATTAATAGGGCAGCAGATCACAGAGATCAAACAGGCCTTTTCTGTTTCTACCCTAGTTCATGCCAAAAAAAAACAAATGGGAGCAAATGTACAAAAAGAGGGATATGCCATCAGCCCCCTGTGAAGAAAATGTACTCCCATTTAATAGAATACAGAGCTGTGCCACACAGCTTAATGGTTAATCCAGGCTATTTTATAATAGGAAGGACCAAAAGAAGATGGGCATCTGTGGCTTCCTCTGCAAGAAAACAGGGTCATCACTCACAGCTCCCTCTGAATTATGCTCTACAAAACCTTAAGAGCGCCTGCTGAGCACCCTTTGGCAGGGGCCAGGACACAACAGTGGCTTGCCACCTTTCAGGTTGTGACCTGAAACACCAGCTCTGAGAGCCTCGGCCTGAAATGCAGCAGGAAAGAAAGGGAATTCCAGTGTATGTTCAAGCCTGGGACACCAAATGATACCCCGGGCTCAACTTCTCACCTACCCAGGAGGCAATGCCCCTGTACCCCAGGCTGTTCCAAGAAATGAGCCTCTTTGTAACTTACCATTGAGACAAGTAACAAACTAGTCCTAAACAGAGAGGAATCAGGAGCTCAGCCCCTTCAATTTTTAATGCATCTGCCTTAATCCCCCCACAGCCTTCAAAAACTAAGCTCATTCAGGGCAAGTGGGCCTAAGGAAGAGTGAAGCATCTCCTCCACTGCTGCTGTGGCACCTGCTGTGTGAGCAAGGGATTTACTTCTGAACTGGCATGGGCTTGGTCTAGAGAAATGGGCTCCCATTTGTGTATCACCTTCAGTTTATAAACAAGCTGAACCTCTTTCTGCCATTTAAACGTGAAACCAGCTGAGAGCAGGCTCTCACCCGTAAGTGCCTGGGTGTCCACATGGTAACAGTTTACCTCTCTTGTCTGTAATTAATCTTCCAAGTCTCTGCATGATGTAGACATTTACAGTAAAAAAGACCAAACACCTTGCAGTCTCAAAGTCAGTGAAGATTCAGTTAGTCTTTATTTTATTCTGACAGGGTCCTTTATCCCAGAGACAATACTAAGACATAGGATTTTACCAGGATTTTTTCCCAGAGCTCATTCCAATCACAATAAGGAAAAAAATGGCATGTTACAAAAAAAGGTATTTAACACAAACAGAATTGAAATAGATTTATATGCTGTTTCACCTCTGTCTGTCACAGATCCCTTAATATAATTAGTCTGTGGCATAAACAGAAAAAGGACACATGAGCATCCACCAAAACCCATTGTCCCTACTTTGTGAGTGCACAAATTAAACCCATCCAGGCACCATAAGCCACTGGAGAAGCCAAGCAAAAAGATAAATAAGCATTAAATCACCAAGAAAAATGTCCAGAGTGAGTTTCAAAAGCAGCAAGATGAAGACCAAAGCATGCTTCAATGCACACGTGTTAAGCCATGAGGCACAGAAAGCAGCACTTTGCTTTTCTAACAGGAAAAGGGAAAGAGGAGAACCCAGACATGGGGCTGTTCTGTCCTGCTGTAGGCCTGTGAGCCCCACTGACCCAGGCACTACTTTACAAGGAAATGAACAACAAGGAGAAAATCTGCAAACGGACATTCTGAAAAACACAGAGGCACCAGACTTCACGTTGGACACCAGACTCCAGGTGCTCTTGCAGCACAGGTTTGTCAGAAAACTCTCTACACTGGCTAGTGACACCTCAGCCCCAGCAGCTCACCTACTTCACTTAAGCCAAGGAAGGATTTCCTCACCCATCTCCCTAGAGACTTGCCAGGAGTTTCCCAAGCCAATGAAGGCCAAAACAGAAGAAAACAAGTGCCCAGTCACAAATACTGGCTTGGGCTTTCGGGAGAGCAAAGTAACCTGAACACCTTCCTCCAGGGAACAACCACAGACCAGGGGTGATTGGCACTCCTCTCAGGGGTCTCAGCAGCATCCCAATTGCCCCTTCCACCATGTTTTGTGCGCTTCAATGTCTCCCCGCTCCCCTCTACTCCAGGGTTCCCTTCCCTAGCCAGTGCTGACCAGACATAGAATAAGGTTTCACTAAAATCAGGGATCTGCTGCTACAGTATCTAAGTTACTTTGACAGCACATACACCTGTCCTTTTTTTTTTTTTAAATCTTAACTTCTGTATTATAATTTTAACCTGAACACACAGCTGGGCACAAAACAGAAGCACCTTTTGTCTAAGACTCCAACATTCCACTCCTTTCAGGGGGCATTCCCTATTCACATCACACCTGATCACCTAACAGTTCTTAAAAGCATTTGCTCAACTCACCAAGTAAAATAACACCTCCAAGGGATCAGACCTCCAGAGTAGACACTGGCTATTGGTCATTTGAGCTCCCAGTATCATTTGGGAAAGTTGGTCCCAGAAAAAGCTGAAGTCAGCCTCTAAGTACACCTTAATTCTCATCTTCTGATTCAGATCAGGGGACCAGGGTATCCCCTCTACAAATAGCCCCTTCTCTTTGTGCCATGTAGAACCCACAGACCATTGCCAAGGGGAGAACGACTCAGTTGAAGCCCAGAGGGTTACAAGCCTGCTACAGGCTGCTTGCTGGGCTGTACACGACCCTTCTCTCACCCACAGACACCAGCAGCACAGGGACCACCATCCCCATCTGCAGCGCTGCCTCTGCTTTTCTGGATGACTGCACCACTGAGCACTGAAGTTTTTCATCTCCCAATTGCTTTTCCCTGTGTTACTTCAGAAAAAATCACAACCCACACACTGAGCTACTACCAAGATGAGTGGGACAGAGGAGCCTGTTCAAGCACCACTGCTGCAGATTCTGGGTGAGAGCCATCAACCCCCCACAGAGGCAATCTCGGAAGACCCTGCAATGAGGAGAGGAAACAAAAAAGCCTATGAGCAGCCGAGGGAGACGTTCATTCTATCGATCGTGCAAACTGTCAGTGGAGGGGCAATGAGCGGGTTTTTTTTTTTGTTTCTGTCCTGGGGAATAATCCAGCCTGATAATTAGTACATAAGAGGTAAGTGGAAAATGAGACATCTAGCGAGGGTGGTTCAAGCCTCCTCATGACATTGATAATGTGCAGATACATAGATCACTGTCGGGGCAAACTGCCACTGTGAGCCTGTGTCTTCCCATTGCCTCATCAATCCATCATCCGCTTAGCTACTGACACCTTGGCAGGCACACACCGCCAGCCCTGCATTTGAATTGAGAGGAGCAGGCTCCACCAGGGAATACAGATTTAAAAATCTAAGATTCAAATTTGTTTAAGTATTGTGAACAGCAATTCCCTTGCAAGGCATCTTCATTGCCCTTTTGCCAAGGGGGAACAGTTGGGTCTTTGTTAGAAGTACAAATTGCTTCTTAATGCAAAGGATAAAGCACAGCCCAGGCACCTCCTTAGAATTCCTCCTGGCTCCTGCTAATGCTGCTGCATGTCAATTTTAATTTTTTGAAATTTAAACCAAGGGCTTTGTGTCTAAGCTCCATTTCATTGAAGGAGGGGGGAGGAATAGTCAAAAAGGATTACGGATCCAGTGGGAATTGAGGATCCATAGCAATTATACTTCATTTGGGTCTCAGACACTGGTTTTAATCATATTCTAAATAGTACAAATCGACAACACATTAGAGATTGATAAGTGTCTAACACATGTACCTGGTTATGAACTCTGCTTCCCTCAACCGGGATTTTTTTGTTTGAGGACATTTTTGAGAGTTTGAGGACAGGATGAAGGAATTGCTTTCTCTCTTTGACCCTCCTCTTCTAGCCAATGAGTAGAAAATACCCACCAAGGACCAGGTAGGAGAGAGAAGCAATTGTAATAACTCAGTCATCACAGGGTTGCCCCAAAGTGGGGCTGGACCAAGTCCAACCAACTGGGTTCCCCTTCCTCCTGCAACATCAGGGCAGGGGCAAAGCTCCAGCCTTGGTAGAGCTGTTTTCAGTCCAGCTCCTGTCTCTCTTACTTGTGAAACTGCACTAAAGCTGCAAAGGGCAGAAAAATGAGAGGGAGGTAAGATCTTCAGAAGGAAAAAACAAAATGACAAGACAGTAAAATGAAACTAAGTGCTTGTGTAAACCAATTTAACTGTTTTAGCTTCACCAATTTACCCAAACTAAGGAGGTTACCTACTGGGGTGATGATGAAAGATGCACCTCCTACACCAAAGGCTCAGAACCACACGCACTAATTACACATCTGTGCATTCTTAAAAAGACACAGAGTGGCTGGAATTTACTGAGGACATCAGAAGAAAACCTTTCTAAATGGTCGGAATTCGTCAGTCTTGAGCAAGCTTTCTCTCCTAGCCCATCTCAGGCATCGTGTAGACCCAACCCATACACACACTGCAAGTGCGAGGGTTTAGACAGACTCTCTCCCCTGCTGCCTCCTTGCATTTGTCAAGCATGTTACAGAAACACGGCTTTCCATAATCACTGATTAAACTGCTTTTCCTGTACTTTGTTAACCTGTAGATCAGGTTCAAACCCAGTAAATCTGTTCAGGAAATCTGCTCCAGACCCCCACTTTCACCTCTTGATGACAGTGTGTCTCCTTTTTACAAAACTGCGCAAAGGTGAAGCTTTTTTTCCTCTCCCTCTGCTTCTTCCCAGCCCCCCTGAACCATAATCAAGACTTAGGCAAGGTGCCCAATCCTTTAAAAAAAACCTTTAAATATTGCTGCAAACCTAAGGGACCAAAGTGACCCCCTCCTCTACCCACCCTCCTGTGGCAGCACCACAGTGCTCCTTTGCAGCACTGGAAGACACAGAAAGAAAAAAGGCATTGTCTAAAAACATAATTTAATGTGATATTTTGGTGACTGTGGTCAGCGACCAAATTCTTTTGCAGACAGAAACAGGTTTGACGTTAATGACACCATCATTCACATGAGCATTGCATAGCACAGAAATAAAAGTTTACACTTGACCCCATACAAAGCAGCAGAGGAAAGAACAGTTATGGCCCAGTCCCACTTTGCAATAGTCGATCTGAAAATTCATCATTGTAATTAATACTTTTTTGATGAAAAAATGTGACTGGTTCAAATTCCGTATGTGGCACAGTCTGAACTCTGGGCTCTTTTAAACCCTCCAAGAACCACTTGAGAGTTTCAAGCTGCCGAGTTCCTCGTGTGACACACAAAACACGCAGGCTGACAAAGGGAGAGAGCAGTCAGAAGAAATGCGGGAGAGTAAAGAAGAGGATTGCTTTGTTTCACTTCTATTTCATTTCCACAGGAGTAAAAATAAAGACATACAAACTGATAATGACGCTAAAGTGACCTGTGGAGACAGTGGATACCAGCAGAACAGCAGCACGATGGGATATGGAAATGCCAAACAGCCCCACAAGCATCAGTGGCAGGGCCAGTTGTGTCATGTTGCTTGTTGTGTGTTAATCGGGGTATAAAAGAAAGCCAGAGAAAGTGCTGTACTTATTGTTGTTGCCTCCGTGTGCTTTGCCTCCATCCAGCTTGACGTACACTTCGTCGCCGGAGTCCAGGTGCAGCACCACGCTGTTGCTGGCATAGTCATAGTTCTGGTCCGCATCCTGGGCGATGGCACTGGCCCGCACCTGCCAACACAGTCGCTGGGCACGTCAGGGCCCCCTAGCCCTTCTTCCCCAGCATCTCTATTAGCTCCCTGAGCCACTCTTCCACAGCCCCTCCACCAGCCTCCCCAGCCCCTCTTTTCCTACCTCTTCATCAGTTCCCTGAGTTCCCCTTTTCCGGCCCCTCCGTCAGTTCCCCAGGAGCCCCCCTTCTCCAGCCTCCCCACTACCACCACGTCCTCCCTCCCTCCCCTCTCCTCGCTTCTCCTTCTCCTCATCTCGGCAGTAAAGTTTGCAAGCCGGGAGTTCGGAATTTGTCGCGGCTCTAGAGCCTCTCCCGCGGAGCAGCCCCGCCCCGACGGCGCGGAGGATGCTCCAGCCGCTCCTTTTCCCGGGAGCGGCGGCGGCCGGTGCTTCGGGAGGGCGACAGGGCGGGGGCAGGAAAGGGACGAAAGGTGGCCCCGGGGCGGGGAGGACGCGCGGGGGAGCGGCGGAACCCACCTGGCCGTTCTTGCAGAGGTCAGCCCACATGCTGGTGCCGTCGCCGCCGCGCATGAGGATGTGGTAGGTGAAGAAGTAGATGCCGCGCACCTGGCAGGTGAACTTGCCGCTGGCCGGGTCGTAGTGGTTGCCCAGGTTGGTCACCACGTCGTCGAACTTGAGGACCTCATAGCCCTCGTGGGGGCTCTTCAGCCCCACGTAGAAGGCGATGCGCGGCCCGCTGAAGGCGGCGCTCAGCCCTCCCGCCGCCTCTCCGCCCGCCGCCGCCCCGCCGCCGCTCCCGCCGCCGCCCGCGCCCGCCAGCGC